CAAAAGTTTTCTAGCTGAGTAGTAAAACCTCCCACTGTGGGTGTGTGTGTGTGTGTGTGTGTGTGTGTGTGTGTGTGTACCTGAGTGTATACTGAGTAGCTTGAGTATTTGAAATGGTGAAAGGGAATGAGAACCCTTAACAACAAAAGTTTTCTAGCTGAGTAGTAAAACCTCCCATAACTCTAGGATTTAAAAATTGCCCATCAAGCTGTGTATTGTATAATGGAACAATAGTTATAAAGCTGCCACCACCCTGGGAATGTGCAGTTGCTCAGTGAGGCTTATTGCAGAAGCTTCCTACTCTACTTGGCACAGTTATCACCCTTATGGGAGTTTTCTCTGTGATTTATTCTCAAACATTTTGTAGTTCCTTTGCCATTTAGATGAAATTTAAATAAAACCGTTAGGTGTAGAACTGTGTCGGGCTGTTATACACTTCAAGCTCACGATAAAATCAATCTGTACATCGTTCTCTGTTTAAATGAAGTAAAAACACCTGCAGTTTGGTAGTTTACTGTCCTACTGGTAGCTCCTGGCTTATCTAACTTTGTTGTAATTGCCCCATGGAGAGAGGAAAACAGGCATGAACAACAGTCACAGTTTCCCCCATTTCCCCTGTCCTTCTTGGTCCCCATTTCTCCCAGTTCAGACACTCTGTCTTTTATAGACCCCGTTGAACCCAGTTCCCAAAAGGAGAGTCTCCTTATTGGTAACAGCACCTAATCCCGTAACTCATAGTTGCCTTGCCCTTCCTCTCAATACAAATGTGTTTAGGGCATCTTCCCAAGATTGATAAATTGAGGACATGACTTTTCCTGTGACAGGAATGTTACAATTTCCCTTGAAGCTGGTTCTGAGCTTAAATTACATATCCTGATATGGCCATTTGCAAATAATTTCTTTTTCCCCTCCTTTTTCTAGGCTTATCCAAATCCCTTGGGCTCATTGAAGGTTATGGTGGGCGGGGCAAAGGGGGCCTTCCTGCTACCCTTTCCCCCGCTGAAGAAGAGAAAGCCAAGGGACCCCACGAGAAGTATGGCTACAATTCCTACCTCAGTGAAAAAATCTCACTGGATCGTTCCATTCCGGATTACCGTCCCACCAAGTAAGTTCTGAGTCGGTCATTCAGAGGCATTTGCTTGATCATGTGAATGGGTGTAGGCTCGAGTCTGTAACATTTTCTCATGTGGTTCGTAACTAGCAAGGGAGATTTTATCTCAGTCTCTTCCACCACCAATAAGCTGAGTACTGTTTATTATGAATTATTAGCTAAATAAAAATTTTAATTTTTATAGAAGTAATCCAGAACCATATAGAAAAGTCTGCAATACAAAAAGTTTTAAATAAAAACCAGAAATCACCATAATCTTACCTAGAGATAGCAGCTGGTAAAATCTTAGTATATTGTCTTCAAGTCTATTTTCTCTACTGATTCTGAGCATAAGATACATTGTTTTATCTCTTTCTTCATTTAACATTATTTCATGAACATTTTCTGATATTATTAGTTATGGTCATCACTTCCATTGTTGGGAATTTTTTTTTAATTTTCATTATTTTAAATAACACTGATGAATATCTTCCCACTCAAGTCTTTATGTGTATTGATTTGATATTTATTTTCTTAATCCACACTTCTTAAAGTATAATCCTTAGATCACATTGTAGGGCTATTTATGGAAGCTCTAGACACATATTGTGATATTTTCCTCCAAAAAGTTTATAGCAGTCTCTATGCCTATTGGAATTTTACTTGGCTTTTCCAAAACTGGGTGCTAGCATTTAAAAAATACTTTGCCAAGCTGATAGGTGAGAACATATACCCCATGATTGTTTCTACTTATACTGTTTTGTCTAAGATTCTTATCTTTTAAATAGTTTGTTTACATCTTGGTTGTCTTATAAAAGGTCTTTGTCCTGTACACTCAGATTTACAAATTATTTCTTTTCTTTTTGTGAAACAGAGAAAAGAGTTTGGTTATAGAATCAAGATGCTGGAGGAAAACCTTGGCCTTTCATACAGATTTTTCATTTTCTGTTACTTTTGTAGTGTCTCTCTTTTTTCATTTAGAGTGTGCCCTTGTTTAGAGCAGATTATTTTTTTTCAAATGGGTTTTGTACAAATCAGTTAAGTATCCTGGTTACCGAGAAAAGTAGATTTGAGATAAAGAAAATTATCTTAAATGGATTTAAAATTGCGGGATCAGCATCAGCCAAAGAACTTGTTCAATCTCTCTCCCTGCCTAATAAGCGTATATTCATTTTGAATCCCTAGGAAAACATACATTACCCCTGTTGGAAGCTATTTTGTGTTTCTGGACTTTTGCTCTCAAAAACATCTGGCTGTTTTCATTTCCTGGTACTCGCTGATTAGCCTTTCTTATTTGGACACTGGCAAATAAACAGAGCCATTATTTTTTCACTCCTAGAATGAAAATGTTTCCAACATGGAGCTTATTGGCAGTGGGTCAGTGAGCACCTATTATGTGCCAGATGTTATATCCCATATTAGCAACAGAACATTGAATAAGACACATCCTTACCTACTTTTTCCTTGTCTAGGAAGGGAGACAGATGTGCAGACAGATCAGTTCAGCATAGTGTGGTCTATATGATGTGTGTCAGGCCAGAGATATATGCAGCATGTGCATGGAGGATCTGGGAAAGTTTCCTGCTTGAGATTATGCCTGAACTTAATCTTTTTTTTTTTAAGATTTTTATTGGGGAATTGGGGGAAGGGGAACAGACAAGTTGCTGTCCTTTTGTTCTTCAGTCTAGTTGTGGAAGCTGGCCACTCACGCTGGCTGCTGGCTACACACGGCAGCCCATGGCAACCCACTGCAGCAGGGGCTGCAGCCTACGCCATTGTCGCAACTCACAGCAGCCCAGCTCCAGGTTGAGCTGTTGTTCAGCATCTTAACTGTAGAGGGCAGTGTCACTGGCCTTCATATGTGGGATCCGAACCGGGGCCCTCTGAACCGGGGCCCAGCTCTTAACCAACGTGCCACTCGGCTGACCCTGCCTGAGCTTAATCTTGAAGGACCATTAAAGGCAGGAAAATTGAAGAGGAGAGAGAGATAAGGGGAGACCAGGCAGGGGAACAGTAAGAGCAGAGTTAAGGTGCAAATAAAAACATGATGTGCTCAGGGAAGAAAACATGATTGATAGTGCTCTGTAATGTAGCATGGTGGCTTGAGTCTACAACTTACTTCTCTGATCTTTCCTAAAATTTTACTAAGATGATAATAAGGGACTAGAAAGGATGGCAACCTGTAAGGGACAACTACATAGGCGATGACAGAGGGAAGCGACACCTACAAAGTTTTGAAATATGGAAAGAGAATGGATGAATGGTGACTGGCAGCAAACTGGATGAGTTGAGACCTAACCTACTGAATACGGTGGGAAGTGGTGGTAAGAGCAGAAGAATGCAGCCTAGTTATACCTCAGGACCCCAGAAACTGAGGAATTGGAGGTTCCAGGTACTTCTGATGGCTGGGAGGTAGATTTGAATAGAAGGACTATAGTTGTATCCCCAGATTTGTTCTCCAGCTCTGCATAACCAGAGTCTGTCCTTCCCTACCTAGTGGAATATGGGAGATTTACTCTCTGGAGAAGGTGAATTCTGGTTTTAGTTCATAAGATATGGCCCGCAACAGAGGATAAGGCTGCATATTAAATGGGAACACTTCAAGTCTCATTACCCTTTAAGGCTTTTATATACCCCAATAGTCAAGCATTTCAAGAAACCACTCTGAAGAAACCAGCCAAAGAAAAAGGCCAATAGATCTGATAGTTGGGGGCATACTGCTGAAATGGTTGGGTTCTGCTCATTAACTATTAGTAAGTTATGCCTGTTGTAGAGCTCCATCCATCTGCACGTAGCTGTCTTACTCTACAATAAGAAAGGAGAGCCAGAATTCCGAGATATCTCAGGAGAGTCTCTATTATAAAAGGCTTTAGCAACAGCAATAATAGAAAACATTTTTGGAGGAAAAAGAGACTACAAATTTTAAAACTTTAAAAATTAATGGCGTAGAGATATCATGAAATGTTTTGGTTTATTCACAAAACAAGAGGCAAGTGTTATGCTAAAGTAATCATCAGAGAATAAAAAATATATCTTGGAAGTTAAAAATAAGATAGAAATAAGTAATTCAATAAAAGGTTGAAAGATAGGATTGAGGAACTCTTCTGAAAGACAGAAAAAAAATTTAAAAATAGGAGAGAAAATATTTAAAAAGAATTAGATCAGTTCAGCTGGTTCAACATCAATTAATAGGAATATCAGAAAAAGAACAGAGAAAACAGAGAGAGGAAAGAACATCATCAAACAAATGATACAAGAAAATTTCCCAGAAATACAGGATATGATCTTTTAGGTGAAAAGGTTCCACCCAATGCCTACATGATGAATGGGGGAAGAAAATTAAGAAATGTAAATGTAAATTTTCAGAACAGCATGGATGAAGGGAAAGTTCTAAAAGCTTTCAAAGAGAAAATGTGGTTCATATACAGTTGATATTAGATTTTTCAGTAGTAACATTAAACACTAGGAGATAAATTGAAAAAATTATTTTCAACTTAGAATGCTATAGTCAGCCATAGAATAGTTTGTGTCAAGATCAAGCACAAAGTAAATACATTACATCTATGTAGGGTCTCAACAATTTTACCTTCCCTACATCTATTTTCAGGAAGCTGCTCAAGGATATGCTCCAGTAAAAGAAGGGTGTAAAGTAAGAAAGATAATAATAATAGGATTAAGAAACAGGGGATTCAAACAAGAGAATACTAAAAGCAGATCCCAGAAAGATGATGAAAGGCTGTTCCAGGGTAACATTCCAAGGTAGGTGACGGCTGTGTAGCAGGCCAAGAGATCAACTATTCTACATTAAAACAAGATGGAGGGCTGTAGGAGGTATATGTCTAAAGGGTGCCAGGGGATCAAGTTATTTGTGTTCTTACTTAAAAAGAATTAAATCAGTCCAGCAGCTTCAACATCAATTAATAGAAATATCAGAAAAAGAACAGAGAAAACAGAAGAAAATTGTCAAACAAATGATACAAGAAAATTTCTCAGAACTATAGGACATGATCTTTTAGGTGAGAAGGTTCCACCCAGTGCCTACATGTTGAATGGGGGAAGAAAATCAAGAAACGTAAATGTAAATTTTCAGAACAGCATGGATGAAGGGATTAAAAACACAGTGTTTTTGACTGCATTAAGAAGATTTTTAAAATTATTTTTAGCAAGGTATAATTGACATTATATTATTTTTAGTTATATAATGATTTGATATTTGTTTATATTGTGAAATGATCACCACAGTAGTTAACATCTGTCACCATACATAATACAGAACTATTTTTCTTGTAATGGGAACTTTAAGATCTACTTAGCCAGTGTCAAATATGCAATACAGTATTATTAACTGTAATTGCCATAGTGTACATTACATCCTCATGACTTATTTATTTGATAACTGGAAATTTGTATCTTTTGATTCTCTTCACCCATTCTCTCTTCCCCCACCCCAAGCTTCTGGCAACCACCAATTTGTTTCTCTGTATCTATGAGTTTAGTTCAAGGCCCATTCATGTTGTTCCAATTTTCATTATTTTTCATGGCTGAATAGTATCCCATTGTGTATATGTCTGTGTGTATATATATATATATATATATATATATATATATATATATATATATATATATATATATATATATATATATATATATATATATATACATGCACACACACACACACACACATGCCATGTTTTCTTTATTCATCTATCAATGAATCATAGCCAAGGTTTCCATCTTGGCTATTGTAAATAATGCTGCAATGAACATAGAGATGCATATATCTTTTCCCAAAGTTTGGATTTCTTTGGATAAATACCCAGAAGTAGAATTGTTGGGTAATAAGGTAGTTCTTTTTTAATATTTTGAGGCACCTCCATACTGTTTTCCAAAGTGGCTGCATCAATTTACATTTCCACCAACAGTGCACAAGGCTTCCCTTTTCTCCACATCCTCACTGACTCTTGTTATTTCTTGTCTTTTTTGATGATAGCCATTCTGACAGGTATGAGATGATA